CGGCTGAAATCCTCTCCCTCTGACACTGCCTTACCGCAACTGACAGCTCAACATAAAACAAAATGCCCCCACGTTTGTCCCTTAAAACGCCTTTTCATGCACCTGAAATAAGAACAGTATTATTCTGAGTGTTGGAAATGTTTTGTGACAGTTTAGACACGTAGCTGTTAACTGTATACATTTCGCTGAGAGCCTCAGCGGCGGTGGGTTAATGTTAGCCTACTGCGTTAGTTAGCTTTAGCCGACGTCAACTAGCAACTAACTCGAAACTCGCAGCACAACAACGACATAAATATTTACCTGATCAGTTACTGCGTTCGTCCTCCCGGGTAGGTTAGCGTGACAACCCAGTACCCTTCTTTATCAAACTGACAAGGAGAGGGGGGTGTTCACAACCCCTGCGTCCTCCTGGATATTGGCAAGAAACCGGTCTAAAATCTACACCACCCTCTCTTACTAACGTCAAACTAATACGACTTCCGGAAGGCTCCTTCAAATCAAAAGCATTAACGAACAACGTAGGGCAGGTTCTGCAAGGCAGATGTTTTGGCATTTGTTTTAGAACTGTTTGTTTTTATCGATTTAATTGATTATTCTTGTTCTATACATTGCAATAATCAGTTGTGGAAAGTCCACAGTTCAGTTAGTGGTGTAGGAAGTACTCGGATTGTTTACCTATGTAAAAGTAACAGTACCACAGTGTAAAAATAGAGTTACAAGAAAGGTCATGCATTCAAGACGTTACTGAAGTAAAAGTACAATAGCATTATCATTAAAAATATGATTAAAAGTATTAAAAGTAAATGTGTTAATTATGCAGAATGGAACATTTCACAATAATGTACTTATATAATTGGATTATTATTGATACATTCTTGTGTACATCATTTTATAATTTTGTACATTATAAAATACATCATGTTGATGATTGTTTTCTTGATTAGTTGAATGATCGGTCTTTATAATAGAGAAAATGCCTGGTGCAGTTTCTTAAAGAGTCCAAGGCCTTCAGATAACTTTTGTCCTGCCAACAGTCCAAAATTCACTTATTCACTTTACTGCTGTATATGAAAAAGGAAACCCTCATATGTTTGAGAAGAAACCTGAAAAAGTCATTTTTCCTTAAAAAACTATTAAACCAAATATGTGATTATCAAAGCAGTTGGTAATATTGTTCTGTTATGTGAAATATTGACCAAATACGCAATTTAAGTGCTGCTCACACACCAATAATATAACGTACATAATGTTACATTTTATTAGGTCATTCAACATGGTACATTTACTTTTTTAACATTACATATTGCTGATAAAACCTCTATATTTTTAATAAAGTAAAATTTTGCATTCAGGGAAATCACTTGTAATGAAATATTTTTACACTGGTATTGCTATTTTTATTTAGTAAAATTCTTGCCAATGCTCTACCAACACTGTCGATTTATATACAGACGAGGACGGCTATGTGATTTCCTGTATTATCTTGACTCTCTCCGTCTAACTTGACAAAACTGTCTCTCCCTCTTCCTCCTCAACTGAGGGAAATCCATCAGGAAATACCAATTGTAGAAAACAACGTCACTTCCTATAAACTTTTTTTTTTTTAAATCAATTACTTCCTTCACATTTTAAGATAAAAGCTTGCATTTGCGTGTTATGAGTTTCGATCACGCCATATCCGTGCAGGTACTATACATAGCATTTTACAAAACATGACATGAACTAATAAATGTTTCAGTGAACACTACTGCATTTTTGCGTGGAGATACTCACTCCATACTGTAGATGTCTCTAGAATACACACATTTATTTTACTACAGATCCACACACAAAGCAAAGAAGAAAATAAGCAGGAAGCCGTATACTTCACCAAGAGGAGTTATGTCTGTTTTCTTGGGAGAAGTTAATGGAGCAGCCTGCAGCAAACAAGTGTGACTATTTTAATAATCCCCCCTAAATCCTTGCTTCAAGATAAATTGTTTTGGTTGGAAGTGTCAAAGTTTTGCATATGTGCTCTCTTGTTAAACAGAAGTAGGAACATAAACAGTCAAAACAAATATAAATCAGGCTTGGATCATCATTTGTTACATTAAATTAGGATGGAGAAGGTGATCAACTGTTTCAAAAAAAGGCCAGATGCTGTGGCCAGGCTGATCTGCTTCCCCTGGGCTGGTGGAGGGTCCGTGCACTATGCTCGCTGGGGAAACGTCCTCAGCTCTGCAGAAGGTAATGCACCATGCAGATCGTGTGCTGCACTTTGCTGTTGATCTGTCTGGTTGCTCAGTATTCACTATTTCTCAAGTTTTGAAAAGTTATTCTAATTTTTAATCTAATGTATAAAATGCCCATTAGTCTGCTTAAAAGGAAGGTGAGTGTTAACTAAAAATTATTTTGTCTTTATATCATTAAACAAAAGTGTGGCCATGTTGCTGGGAATGTTTTCTGTCTTTCAGTGTTCGCAGTCAAACTTCCAGGCAGAGAGAGTCGAACCAGAGAGCCCTTCTTTCTGAGCATGCAACAGATTGTGGATGAGGTTGTGGGCGTGTTGTTGCCGTTTCTAAAAGAAAAGCCATTTGCTCTCTTTGGCCATAGGTATGATCAAAACTGGGCTTAATAAATGACTCAGAGTCTCTTATAATAACACAGCACCGTTTTCTCTTTGTCTCGTGTTTGTGCTTCCTTTTTTCCATCACCTACATGTTTTATATTAACATCACGGTTACACTGCTCTGACCTGGTTTAGTTTTGGGGCCTTCACGAGCTTCGCTGTTGCACACGCTCTGAAGAAACTTCACAACATTGAACCAGTTCACATATTTCTGTCTGGTGCTTCTGCACCCTATGTAAGTAAACCCACACACAATATCACTTTAAGTACTCTTTCACAGACCTCGTATTTTAACTTTCCAGACTAAATTACAAATGAGTTAAATCTGTCCTGTGGGGCTGCAAACATGTAACTGAAAACTAGAAAGCTGTTAATAATTGTTGTAAATGTTGAAGGTGAAGTCAAATCTACATAGATGTGACCGTGTTTCAACCACAACTGGTCTTGTTCAAGTGACAATGATTGATTCTGATATACAACAACAGAGATGATACAGTATATTATGTTGTTCTGTGTCTTTTAGTCAGAAACACGTATCAATGCACCAAAGCGAAGTGAGTTATCAGACGATGATTTTCTCAAGTGGTTGGTTTCAAATGGAGGAACTCCTCCTGAGCTGCTGGCAAACCCAGAAGTACTGAAACTCTTCCTTCCTGCCCTGAAGGCCGACCTGCACGTTGTGGAGAATTACAGGTGGGCTGACACCTCCATTTTGTTACTTCATTTAACCATTAATTTAAAATGGGTGTTAGTAGTGACTGGAGCTGCTGACTTTCCTGCAGCTGTAACAAGCCAGACTGTCCAATCCTGTCCTGCCCAGTCACATGTTTCGATGGAAAGGACGACATTCCTCACGACATGAAAGGTCAGATATCTGATATCGCACTCACTCCATCCTATGAGAAATAGGGTGGATAAAGGATTCAGGATGCTCACTATGAGAAAACATGAAACATTTGGTCTCTGTAAATTTATATTAGTTGAACAAGTCGGCAGCTTGGTCAGGTGAAGTGCATATGATTTTGTGCCAGAGTTAGTGCACATCACAAATTGCCTCAGAAAAAAGACACATAACCTTCATCTTTATCTTCCTTGTTTTATACTGTAATTAATGCTATTTATATATTTTATCAACAGCTTGGAAAGACATCACATCAGGGGATTTCACCGTCAGGTTGTTCGATGGATCTCATTTTTACCTGAAGGATTCTGGAAATGAAAAAATTTTACTGGACTACATCACAAGGCATCTGGAAACATCAGAAATGGACTATTTATAGTAAAAATATGTACAATTGCTGTACAATATATTGTATCCAATGATTTT